CAAGAATAGATCGGCTCCATGAGACGTGGAGATGCCATGAGGAAGGAGGAGTAAACAGCTCGGCGGGCTGTGGGGATAATCTGGCCTCCACCGCGGTAGATAGCCTGATCGGCCAGGGAGACATCTGTGAGCCTAAACTTTGTGTTTCGAATGGCTATACTTCAATTAGTGTCACATTCATTATTTTCGCCGAGACTGCAAGATCACTGGCGAAGGAGAGAAGTCAAAACTTACGTTCTTCACAAAGAGGGCCTTCCCGTGTACCCCAGCTGAAGCCTTGGGTGATAGAGTCTCTGACAGTACCGAGAAGTTTCTTATCCACTTGAGAGGGTAAAGTGTCATCTTGCAGAATATTGGGACCCATTTCATCCGGTCCAAACGCCCAGATGCTTCGGGCTGCAAGCTTATCCCAATCGTAATTTTCCTCGAAGTATCGAGCGACCTTCCGAATGGGGTCCTTGATACTGACTTTACCACTTTCAATATCCTCTGCAATCCCATCATCTAAAGGCTCCGCAATCATCGTGATCTTATTCTTCTTATTCGGAGTGATCGAGTAACACATGATGGCTGAGGTTTCCACCACAGTCTCACAGAAGCGTGTAACGGGGTCGGATACCTTGATCTCCATCTCTGAATATAGTTTCCGGAGATCATGGAGCACACAGTCCATGTAAAGCTCGCCAGTTCCTAGGACCACATGCTCGCCGGACTCCTCAACCTTGGTTGAGATGAGGGGGTAGCTCTTATTGATTTTCCGCAATCCATCCAACATCTTGGGAAGTTCTGATGGATTGACCGGTTCAACGGCGACCTTAAACACTGACTCAGTCATGTGCCGAATTGGCCGGAAGATGTACGCCTCCTCGTCATCTTCGAGCTTCAGGGGCACCAGCGTCGCAGTCTTGACAATAGAGTTGTCGACACCACCCAAAAGAACCCAGTTTCCGGCGGGGACACCGTTGGTCGGGATGTTGTAACGTGTTTCCGCAATCCACGTGTCGGAGATGGTTGCTACCACCATGTCTTCCTCGTCTTCCGGCGTGTATCCCTCACCGAGGACACGGACCTGCTGACCAGGCCGCGCTGTGCCACTCATAATTCTTCCAAACGAGTAGAAGCTTCCAGCATCGGTACTGCTGAATAGTTTGGTGATATGGATAACCAGGGGTCCGTCTTGGTTACAAGTGAGCATTGAGTCCCCAACCTTGGTATCCACAGGCCCAGTGTAGTATCGCTCCAATACTCTCTGGGCGCCTTCCACCGGAGAAGGAACGTGCTGAACAACCATGTCCACAAAGCCGGTGGCGGGTCCAAAGAAGTTCTCGCAGACCAGACTGAGCAGCTCCTTGGCATCGGTCTTGAGCTGCGATGGCTTCAAATTGACGCCGACGCTAGCCAGAGTCTGTTTTAAATCTTCGGGGCTCTCGCTCAGTGTGTGCGAGTAGAGCTTGTAAATCGGCTCCAAGACAAACTTGACGAATGATCGCTTTGCGTTCTCCTCCACTCCTTTGCGAGTGAACTTTCGGCTCTGGGGATTGTAGAAGATGTCACCCCAAAGTCGCGCAGCAAATTGTGTCGAGTCCAAGCTTGGATAAGTGTCTGCGTACATCCGGGCAAATGACTGCAATGTAAAGCACCAGTTCATAGAGCTGGATGCGAATGCAACATTGCCCTTCTCGGGACTCAGTCGTCGTCGCTCGCCTTGCCCTGGCAAAATGTTCTCGATAATTGTATTCACCTCCTCGATCACATGCTTCAATTTGAAATAGGCATCATTCGGAGGAAGCTTGAGCTCAAGGATGAGTCGATCCATCTTGTTAACGACCAAGGTCAAGGGGAGATCCTCCAATACTGCATGCTTGATAATTTGCTCAGTGTTCGCCTGAACACCTTCGACAACATCCACGACCAGTACCACACCATCAGCTAGGCGGATAGAGGCAGCCACCTCATCGACAAAATTCACATGCCCGGGGGTATCAAGGAGGTTGAGCAGGTGAGATTTGCCTTTGGTATTTGGAAGAACGAGGGTCATCGGTGCCGACTTGATCGAGACACCGCGCTCTCTCTCTAGGAAATGAACATCGGTGTATCGCAATTGTTCTTCTCTTTTCCGTCCTGTGCGCTTCGCCAACCGCTCTGTTAGGTCGTGCGTCTGTTTGACCAGCATATCCATGAACGCAGTCTTTCCATGGTGCAGGTGACCAACGATTGCAACATTCCTTGTCTGTTCTGGGAAGTTCAAGAGATCAGACATGAACTCTCGAGAGAAGTGTACGGGTGGGAGTTCGGTCTCTGCGATCGCAAATTTCTTCTGCTGGACGGGGGCAATGATGGGCTCTGATAAAGGCTGCGCATCTTCCTCCTGGACCATGGTTTCGACATCCTCGCCGTAGACTTGTTGTGCGCTGGGGTAATATTGCTTGTCTTCGTGCAATATGACCGCATTCGAAGGACCCTCTGAAGATGCGAAATTAGCGAGATCGCTAATTGTGAATAAGACGTGCCAACATACCATCGACTTCCATCAACTGTAGGTCATTGACTTCCTCTTCTTCTTCATCATCGAAAGCCTCATCGAACTTGAAGGCTTGTGGCTGTACATCTTCATGGTGCTCCTCGTCGGATTCGGCATCGCCGATGTAGTTACCGAACCTAGACACAATTAGCAAGGTCGTAGATGTAGAGCTGAATAAACATACTCATCATAGAGGTCATCCATAATGAATGGAGAATGTGAACGTGTGTAGGGAAAAAAAGAGGGACCGTAGCTCCAGACGCGTGATGCCGGAGAAGTTGAGGATCTCAACTTTCACTTGGTCCGTGCGTCCTTTCGGAGTACTCGTGCCTACACCGTACAGCTCCTCACTCCCCACCGTACAATTTACTCTTATAGATGCCCCTCCCTCTTTAATCTCTTGTCTCCTTTCTCTTCTGTATATTCTCCCTTTTCTTCTATACTTCCATAACACTTTCTCTTTTTTGCCAAAATGTCTTCTCTTCCTCCCGTCTACATTGTTTCTACTGCCCGTACTCCTGTGGGCTCTTTCCTGGGGTGAGTATTCCTGGATTCATCTTTTTTATTTATTTTTTACCCCTGGAACCTGATCTGACATTGGTTACTGTAGCTCTCTCTCCAGCTTGACTGCTCCCCAACTTGGTGCACATGCCATCAAAGGTACGACATATCACCCAAACTATACCACCCATCTTCAATGCTAATAGTAATTGGCAGCGGCTGTCGAGCGTGCTGAGGGCATCAATGCCTCTGATGTCGAGGAGGTCTTCTTCGGTAACGTCTTGTCTGCTGGGTTAGTTATCTTTGCTACATCTTATACTACAATTGAGACTGACCTGTTTGCTTTAGTGTTGGACAGAACCCCGCTAGACAATGCGCCATTGGTGCTGGCCTGAGCGAGTCTACCGTCTGTACCACTGTTAACAAGGTCTGCGCTTCTGGCCTGAAGGCCATCATTCTCGGTGCCCAGACTATCATGACCGGAAACGCCGATATTGTTGTCGCTGGTGGAACCGAGTCCATGTCGAACACCCCTCACTACCTGCAAACCTCTCGCAGCGGTACCAAGTTTGGCAGCCAGACTCTGGTTGACGGTATCCAGAAGGATGGTTTGACTGATGCCTACGGCAAGCAGGATCTTATGGGTCTTGCTGCCGAGGAGTGCGCCGAGGAGCACGGCTTCAACCGTGCCCAGCAGGATGACTATGCTATCCGCAGCTACGAGAAGGCCCAGGCTGCCCAGAAGGCCGGTGCTTTCGACTACGAGATTGCTCCTATTGAGATCCCCGGTTTCCGTGGCAAGCCCGGTGTGACTATTTCCCAGGATGATGAGCCCAAGAACGTGAGTACATGGTTTTCTGCGGTGGATTATTGTGACTTTGACTAACCACTCCTCTCGGCTTATAGCTCAACCCTGAGAAGCTCCGCGCCATGAAGCCCGCCTTCATCCCCGGCACTGGAACCGTGACCGCCCCCAACTCTTCGCCCCTGAACGACGGTTCCGCCGCCGTTGTCTTGGTTTCCGAGGCTAAGGTGAAGGAGCTCGGCCTCAAGCCTATTGCTAAGATTCTGGGTTGGGGTGATGCTGAGCAAAAGCCCAGCAAGTTCACCACTGCTCCTGCTCTGGCTATCCCCAAGGCCCTCAAGCACGCCGGTGTGACCCAGGACTCCATCGATGCCTTTGAGATCAACGAGGCCTTCAGTGTTGTGGCTCTTGCCAACCTGAAGCTCCTCGATCTCTCCGAGGACAAGGTCAACATCCACGGTGGTGCGGTCGCCATTGGACACCCTCTCGGTGCCAGTGGTGCCCGTATTGTGTCCACCTTGCTCGGTGTCCTGAGCGCCAAGGGCGGCAAGCTTGGCTGCGTCGGCATCTGTAACGGTGGTGGCGGTGCCAGCGCCCTGGTGCTTGAGTCCATTTAAAGAGTAAACTCTGTTAACGAAAAACGGAGATGTGAAACGACCTTTGTTCTTTGCATATGAAACACCAAGTTCATTTTTGACGGGGAAGGTGCTCGGTTCTCTGTAGACATACCCCACCCTGCAGCGTCGAACTTTCGCAGTATCAGTACCATTTCTCGGTATTTAAAATAATTAATGAGATATCCTTGTGTCATATTCTGCTTTCCACTTGCTTCGTGTTGGTCTTAGGTGAAGAATCGGGTTTGAGGGTTTAGTAATATATAAAGCAGCCTCTACCCAGGTGAGAAAATGAACCTCGATAGCCCTAATATTGTCCATCTCGATACCACTTAAGACCTCTGCCATGATACCCAGAACCGAAAAGGACAATGAGAACATTGAGAAGCCAAGGCCCTCCAAAATTTTTCTGGGGAAAGGAGTATGAACGAATGATATCGGGGATGCTGTTAGAGATACGCTTCCTTTCCGGTATACACCCAAAAGGTTCTAAATTATATACAGACACAACCCTCTAGGCCCCGAACTCATAGAGCGCAGGTCTCGAGCAAGACGTTTAATGACTACATTCAACGCACCGCCCTCATTGGAAGCCCCCGAACTGCAAGTAGTCGCTCAGCGAGAAGACATACTTCGAGAATTCTTTGGTAGTGTTGGGCAAGGAGTATATATTGAGCCTCCCCTATTCGTGGACTACGGTTGCAATATCAGTATAGGCACCGGATTCTACGCCAACTTTCAGTGAGTCGAACTTTTTTTAGAGAAAAGAACCAAATCTAACCAGAATCTTCTCAAGTCTCGCTGTCTTGGACTGTGGCCTAGTTTCCATTGGGACGATGTTATGATTGGGCCTAATGTCAACATTATCACAGGAGAACATGAGACGGGGATCGAAGCGCGAAAGGCACATAGAGGACTGGAATTTACGGGACCCGTTGTCATTAGCGATGATTGCTGGATTGGAGCTAATGTGACGATCCTGGCTGGAGTCACTATTGGTCATGGATCTTCCATCGGTGCTGGCTCCGTAGTAAAGCAGGATATACCAGCCTTGAGTGTTGCAGTTGGTAGTCCCGCTCGAGTTATCAGATCGGAATAAAGAGGGATCAAGTGTGCTTCACGAGAATGCACCGGGATGGAGTACATATCCACCAGAATTCCTGAAATGAATGTAGAGTAGTATTGGAAAGATCGCTTGCTTCATTAATCTATCAGACATTATAACCGAGAAATCCCAAACAATTATTAATGCTTTTAAGCAAAGGCCCCGACGAATGCCATGAGGAGAGCACCGCAGGCAACGGATATACAAGCTTCAACACGTCGTCTGCCCTTGAGGGTGTCATAACTCGACTCACTCAAGAAGTCCTCAGCGAGGAGCTCCACTAGGCCCGCGAAGAGCAACAGGCCGCTACTAATGGCATTGGTGATGCCAACCATCAGCAGACCTGTTGCGCTGGCAGGATCGTAGAGATTGTGTAGAACCAAGCCGATAGCTTGGCCAAGGGGAGTTGTCGTTCCGTATGCCAGTGACATAAGCCATGGTTTCATAGAATTTGGAGCGAAGAGATCCGGTATCAGCGAAGCAATCCGAGACCCCAGGGCGAAACCTTCAAAGGTCTGATGGAAACTGATTGCAATTAACAGGACGACAAAGGACGTGCCAGTCGCAACACTGAGCGCCATGCCAATGAAAATGCTGTGAAACAAAATACCAGCTTCCAAGAGGAGGCATTGCAGAAGCTGACGTTGAGGATTCTGGATTGGCGCATCTGTGTCGGTCGGATGCCGGTGGCTTTCGCTTACACGGGGTCGATGCCGGTGGACAGGCTGTGGCTGCGCAGAATGGGCTGCCTGTCCGCTGATAAGTGCGTCGTCATCCATATAATCATCCAGCCCATCAAGGTCATCCACATCGTCCTCCTTATCCGGTGATGGGTCTGTCAGGTGAAGACGGTCCGATTCATGGTCCGAGCCGGAAGCTCTCGTTGCCCGCAACTTGGAGTTGTCCATGCTATCTAGATTGATATTATCTGAAACCTGCCGGGCCTCTAGCCTCGAGTAATCCACATCCGGATCTCCCCCATCCCTTATTGAGTCACGCCTAGCTTCGCCAATAAGATTATCATATTCGCTTCCGTGTACATGCTTTGCGCCTTTCATCGCAAAGAACATTTCCACAATAACGACTGCAAAGACCGCTATCATCGCAACGAACCCTGCCATAGCACGATATGTTTGACTCCAAAATCGAGGAAGACATGGATCGGTCAGAGAGACGAATGCTGTGGGGAGTAAATGGACGAATGCCGTCGCAATCAATACACCCGTTCCGAAATGTCTCGATATAAAGAGGAACCGACGGGGAATCGGGAGACCAGGGAAGCGGCGAGCCAGAACCGGAAAAGAACAAGCTATTGTAGTTTCAGGATTAGCAATGATCAACTTGAGAGCTCCGAGAGAAGCCAGTGCATACCGAATGTACTCAACCCAAGGATGAGGAACAATGCCATAACGTGTAACGGGGTGTTATATGCCCCTCGCTCTTTGGATCCGCATGTCGGCGTATTGTCTGAAGCTCCATCTCGCCGAAGAAGTTCTGCCCGCAAAAGAGCATCGGGGATGTCTGAAATTGTGGAGAGGGCACGCTTCAAGTCTGCCCGGAGCATAGTTAGAAACTAATCACAATTGGTATATAAAGATTTCTCACCTGATGGTAAATCCTGCGCAGTCCGCCAGTCTTGCGCATTCTGCATTTTGTTATCTCAAAGCTGTTGAAGGTGTAATAACATCCCCAGTTGGACTGCGGTGGGGAATGTTGGAGGGTAGGCCGGGTAACGTCAAAGAGATATAGGTAGTCACACAATTGGGTTAAGACAAGGATCAAAAAATGGCAAACCAACAAGGAAATCAATAACACATAGGTCTCTTAAAGCAGAAAAGCCAGAGGGTTCTAAGACACGCGATAATGTCGACTCCCCTTCGCTTAGTCATGAATCGCACGTGGGCAATACGCGTCCTGGGATTTGTGATTTACTGGCGAAGAAAAGTGATATACATGAAATACTTGGAGGTGGAATATTAAATACATCCATTTCCTCTACCTATTGCCCACCTTAGTCCAACCTTTGGTACCTTTAGGTCGGGAAACGTCCTGGCCTTGAGGCCCACGTGTTTTGGAATTTCTGCTGTCTGTGTCTGTTTCCGCCCTCGATTGAGAGGGGGCAATGATCTTGGGGCTTTGCGGAACAGATGGCTGAGGTGAATCCTTGACCGCATCATCCCATTCTTTTTCTTCTAGCAATTCCCATTCCGCACTGGCCATTTCCCCTTGAAGGTTGGACTTCAATTTATCCACAATCTTGGTTGGGGTTGGGAGTTTCCATATTCGCATGAATTCAACTCCTTCCGATGCTCCCAGGAACGAATGTGCTGTGCCGTGAGAATAGTGACCTAACATGGGAAAAGAAGTTGTCCGCTGAATTGTTGTTTTGGGTGAGTCTTTGGCAGATTTCATCTGTGTCTGTGTGTCTCGACCGGCAAAAGCTCGCATCAGAGTTGAAGGATGGGCTGGCGGAGCAACCAGCAGTTGCCATAAGCTCTTTCCAATATCGCAAACATCCTCCCAAGAGTCCGATGAGAGGTTTATTCCTTGAGTTCGACATAACCATGCAACATTCCACGCCAAGAGAGTGGCTCCTTCAAGAAAGAAGGCGTATGTTGCGGGGTCCTCCTTCGCTAACCGGGCTAGAGGCTTATCAATGAAGAGAGGCCGCGGGCGTGGTGTGTGGATGCGCGGGTCGACCGTCTTTGATGCGGCTGGACTTGACGAAGACTGGTGATCGGCTCCATCTTGACCGTCACGCGAGCGATATGATGCTGAGGGGGTGTAGATCGTAGGCACAGGATAGTTTTTGTGAGGCAGTGTGATTTCGGCGGGAAGTCTCAAGGAGAGATAGTGTGAGACAATGACCAGCAGATGGGCGATGTTAGAAAAAGATGAGGATATCTGTTCTTGTGGTATACCTGTACTGGCCCTGTTAGTATGCCACGGGATGAACAACTGTTTGGAAGCGACTGTGGAAACTTGCCATTCATATCCCTCAAATCAACGATAAAACCACTTCCAAGCACATAGGTCTCACGACCTTGGCCCTTCTTCGTATTCTTCCGCAGGCCATAGAGATTGGCGACTTCTCGACAAAGGTAAATACGTGACTCCGCCGTCTTGCTATGGAGGGAATGCCAAACATGCTCCACCCGTTTGCTGGTATTTTGAACGCCTGCCAGGATTCCAGCTTCCCGCTCTTCTAGTTGAAATTTGGCAGATTCAGCATCTGAGCGTCTGCGTGCTAGGGCTTCTTTTTGCTTGGCAATCTCGGCTTTCTTGGCTTCGACCTCTGATTTCAAAGCCTCAAGCTGGTGTGAAACCAGTTCTCTATTTGCCAAAGACACTGCATGTCGAGTGTTTATCGTTTGGAGGACCCAGCGGGGAGAGCAAGCTTTATCCGTATCGAGCAGGTCTTGTCCGTGCGGGGAAGACTGATCCCAAGAGCTATCACAGGTAACAGCGGCCTCAATTTGCTTCCCAAGGGCTTCTTTCTCTAGAAGAACTTGAGTGCTGTCGATTCGTAGTTGATATAGCTGATTGCGGGCACATGTCGGACAGTGGAAAGAAAGGCGGGAATGAGGGGCACGTGAGCATATGGAACAGCTCATCGCAGACAATTCGGTTTTATTTTCAGCTGTTCTTTGAGAGCGTAAGGTGAATTTCCATGTTGCGTTCGAGGATAATTATGGGTGCTACTGGAGTCGCCGCCGAGAACCATATAGAGGAGTGAAGGGGTCATCAAATAGATGCAAATCCCACATGACTCAAGTAATATGCTGATATAAAGGATACGATCGGCTTCAAGCCCAGCATGTCAAGTTCGCATCACCTTTAGCCAATGTTTCTTTAGAGAGGAAGAGAAGAGAAGACGGGATGATGTGCACATGCACTTGTCGACGTCACCTGATGCTCCGTTATCGCAAATCTTATCTTCTGGATAGGAACATCCACGAATCAAAACAAAAGACTCTAGATTCTACTGAATCAATCATTGGGTTTGATATGGTTTTGCTCTAATACATCTTTATACCAGTCAGCCAATTCAGTATGCAGTCAACACCAAACAGGACCAGTAAAATCCCTCGACCTGGGGCAATATCACCCCGTGTCAGTCAAGGAAGCAAAAGCCCTCCAGGCAGTGGGAGCTTCCAAGAGAACAAGAGCCCTCAATCACCAGTCGAAGCTCGTACATCTACCCCTATTCATGATGAGTTCCCACTTGTCTCTGGGTTAACACAAGGACTTGAAGACTGCGACTGGGAGCAACTCCAAGAGAAATATGCTGATGCAATGGATGAACACGGTCGAGTCGAAGAGAATCTTCGAGTTGAAACAGCCAAGCTTCTTGAAGTAAGTTTTAAAAGCATATATGACTTGCAATTTTGTCTCTGATCAACTGGTAGGTTTTCATGGCATGGTCTCAAACTACCGTTTCGCAAGATGAGAACAGGGCTTTGAAAAGGTTCGACCAATCCAGCTTCGAAGACATCAACGAACAAATAATTAAATGCTCTACAGGTTCAAGACCCAAATGCAGCACGTTCAAAATTCCGAAGTCAATGTGGAAAACAAAAAGAAGCATTGTAAGTCCGCCCGTGTCCTTTTGACTTCAAAACGAGGTCTGATTGCTCATCTGTTTAAAGATACAGAAGTAGTAAAGGCTTTCCAAAATGCTCTCGCCTTGCTAAACGATCAAATGAAGGTTTAAGCACATGATGTTTACGACATTTATGACAATTATGAGATTATGTTACTCTGTCCCGTCTATCTCAGAATCGATATCCCAAGAGAGGAATTGAATCAGTATGCAAAAAGCATTCATTATGTATTTCCTCGCTTATATGATGGCTCAAAAAATAAGATAAAACCTAAATGTACTACAAGTAAAGAAAAAGACCATTGGAATCCTTGGGGTCATTCAAATAGCACTGCTGAGAACATCAAAAATCATTATTGCAGGTAAAAGAGTTTCAAGTTATTCTCTGGCACATATGTAGTCTCGGTGACTGCGAGGCTCTGGTCTCTAGTCACTATCATTTGTAAGGCCTCGGTGGTTAGCCTTGGGAGCGTTCAGTCCGGGCAGCTCTCCCTATGATGTCTTGCCAACTGGCATTAAAGCGTCTGCCAGTATTCGCCAATAAGCCTTCCTCCTCAGCTTCCTCTGCATCCTCATCGAGTTGCGCTTCGTCCAACTGAGGCGAACGGAAAAGGGAAGTAACAAAGACAATCAGATACAAGCCTGCGATGTTGGTGTTAGATCAATGTAAACAAAGAATTCTGGTAGGACCACAACGGGATTTAGACATACCTAGGAAGACGAATTGGGCCCAAAAGAACACGACTCCAAAAAATGGGTAGTTCAGGGTGACCCGGTTCAAGAAGGTGCTCACGACACTGGGTGTGCAGACTTGCTGCGCAGCGGGGTTCTTCGCCAGTTCTGAGCATGGCTTGATAAGTTCTTTGCTATTTGAGCAATCTGGCTTCCCGATGAAGGTACCCGGATCGCGATCACAGAATGTCTGTGGGCCGAATGTGGCATACTGGGGGGCGACAATCATCGAAATGGAGTAATTCAGCGCTAAAATGATTAGCATCAACATGGCGGTGGCTAAGAGTAGAGCCTGGGGAGATGTGTGGCCGTTTCTAATTTGGAAAATCCTAATCCATAGGAAGCGGATTCCAACCACAGCGATTCCAACCACAGAGCTGCAGAAAAACAGTAATACAAGTGCGGTAAATATGGCGTAGTCAATGGGAAAGAACCTGGCGGATTTAACAAGTGCCCAGTTGACAGGGTTGAAGATGTTAACATGTGCGAGGATGTATCCACAACGATGTTTGCAAATCGAGTTCACGGCTTTGTCAATTGCCGTCAAGAACATGGATACCCACGTGAGGAAAGCAATGAGAAGCAGGAATATGCCACCTAGGAGCTTGAAGGGACGGAGCACTGCCCCAATTTTGTACCATGCCCTCATCAACCAGCTGCGGCCTCCGCCTTGGGATTCTTCGGCAAGACGTTGGCGCCGAATCAGGGTCCTCTCTTCTCGCACCAGTGTATCAAGTTCTCGTCGGTCCTTGGAAGAAAGAAGCTCGGGGTCTCCAGCACATCGTCCCTCGAGCTGCCGTTGGCGCTCTTGATTTGTATCGAGTTGTTGTGCAGTGCTCGCTTGCAAGGCAGCGCTAGATACTGATGGTGCAGTCTTGATCAAACTGATTGGCAGAAGGGCCAGTCCCACAGATGTGTATAAGACATAAAGACACAGTCCGATCGTCATTAACAGACCAAGAGCAAAGGTAAGGGCACGCTCGCCATCTGTTAAGATTTATGTCAGCTTCACGGCTCAGGATACTCAGATACTCAGATACTCACGGTTTTCAGTCAGTAAGCGCCTGAAGTAATCCAGATCCATGTCATTCTTTCCTTGTGAGACTGGGACAAAGAAACCAACTAGGAACAAGATCACCACGACTGCAACAAATGAGAGCGTGTATTTGAGGGCACCCCAAATCCGTTGGCCAACAGTTTGCTCGCCCGACTCGGTCGCAACGTCATCGTATTCTTCATACCAGAAATATGTGAAGGGGATGACTAGAAGACACAGCAGAGCATCCAAGGAATAGAGGAAATAATAGATGATGGTCAAGGAATAGGTGATTCTGTCCACCGCATCCTGTGTTGCCCAGTCCTTTCGTTGGCCTAACTTGGACGATGTAGTCGATGATACCAAAGCGACATCGACAGGTAGCAAGAGCACTGTTGCGAGAAGACTAGTAATTGAAATGATGCAAGTCAAAGTGACCGAAGGAGAGCGGTCGCGGGGAGTTTGGTAGACATAGATAAACACTGACGCCACTGCCAGTAGAATAGCCACCACCACCCCATACAGAGCCCAGATAAGGGAAGTCTGAAGGAGGGCCATGTTGCAGGATAACAGTTCACACTGTGCAAATTTGTTGTGAAGTCTGCATCAACAAATCTAGCAAAAGAATGAAGGAATGATGGCAGGAATGGGACTTACAATATTAAATCAAGATCTTCCCTTCCAGAGCTCTGGCGATCGCCTGTGTCGTCATTGATAATTCGACGCTAAACCATTTTGAGGCACGTGCAGTAAATGGCGGTATGATTTATCGGGCAGAATATTTTGGCCGCTCGATTCTGCCAGACCAGTCAGCTGACCCGCTCCCATCTCCGCTTTGCTTCCGCTTCAAAGGAGCTACAAACTTAACTGCACAAGGCAGAGATCTTGATCTTGATCTTGATCGCTTCTCGTGTTTATATTAATTTTTTTTATCTGTGCTTCTCTCTTTGTGCTTACAAGGCTTGACATTCTCAATTATCCGTCCCTGGGTTTAACAATTGCAATGTGCATCTCAGGCCATATCAAAAACACAATTTAGCTTATTGGCGGTTTCCTAGCATATTCAAGCCTTCTCAAGCTTTGACGGTGGACTCAATCTCCAAATGCAGTGCTACACAGAGCTATTACCCCCACGGGGGTCACCCATGCTTTGGCAATTCCTTTCACCTCAGCAACCGCCAGCAATTTGATTGTTGTCAGAACCTCTCTACTGCAGGTTTTCTCTCTCGTTAAGGTCTCTCATCAGCCACAGAAGGAAGGCTCCGAACCTCATTCTTTACAATTTTCTCAACCAGAAACGAAATTAGTGCTGGAAAAAGAATACCCACTATCTGGAACCGTGACGGATTTAAGCCGAGTCAAAATCTTGAACACTAAGAGTGGCGGAGAAGCCATCTTAATTGCAGTGCGCAATGCCAAACTCAGCTTGATCGAGTGGGATCCTGAACGTCATGGAATCTCAACAATTTCCATCCATTACTACGAGCGGGATGATCTGACCCGCAGCCCCTGGGTGCCTGATCTGAGCCGGTGTGGGAGCATTCTGAGCGTTGACCCAAGCAGTAGATGCGCGGTGTACAACTTTGGAATTCGCAACCTTGCAATTTTGCCCTTTCATCAGGCGGGCGATGACTTGGTTATGGATGACTACGACTCGGAGCTTGACGGAGAACGCCCAAATCAAACCTCTGGCGGAGGTGCACAGATCGAGAAGAGCAATGATGGACCAGCGCACCAAACACCCTACTCCTCGTCTTTTGTCCTGCCATTGACTGCCTTGGACCCTTCATTGCTACATCCCATAAGTCTTGCGTTCCTATACGAATACAGGGAGCCCACGTTTGGAATTTTATATTCTCAAGTCGCAACCTCCACTGCCCTTCTTCATGAAAGAAAGGATGTGGTATTCTACGCTGTGTTTACATTGGACCTTGAGCAGCGCGCTTCTACCACCCTTCTTTCCGTATCTCGTCTTCCTAGTGATCTGTTCAAAGTCGTGGCACTCCCACTTCCAGTAGGAGGTGCCTTGCTTCTTGGATCAAATGAAATTGTTCATGTGGACCAAGCCGGTAAAACCAATGCAGTGGGAGTCAATGAGTTTTCAAGGCAAGTTTCTTCATTTTCAATGACGGACCAATCGGACTTGGCGTTCCGCCTCGAAGGCTGCGTGGTTGAGCGACTTGGTGGTGATAGTGGCGACCTACTCCTAGCACTTGCGTCCGGCGACATGGCACTGATCAAATTCAAACTTGATGGTCGGTCTGTCTCCGGTATCACTGTTCACCCCCTTCCGGCTCATGCAGGTGGAGATATTCTGAAGTCGGCCGCCTCATGTTCCACTTGTCTCGGAGATGGAAACGTCTTCATCGGCAGCGAAGATGCCGACTCGGTACTTCTAGAATGGTCGCATTCATCCGCCTCTACTAAAAAAGCTCGGCTTGAGTCAAAACACACAGCCGATGGTCTTGATGATCTTTCAGACGATGATGATCAGATGGAAGACGATGATCTTTATTCCTCGGCACCTGGGTTGACACAGGTCGATAATCGCATGGGAGCCGACAACTCAACCCCCGAATTCTATAACTTCCGACTGAACGATCAACTTCCTAGCATTGGGCCACTGAGGGACATCACTTTGGGCAAAGCTTTCTCGAATACGAATCCCAAAAGTCAGGATACAAATGAAAGTGTTGCCGCAGAACTGGAGTTGGTGGCATCTCAGGGCTCAGATAGAGGCGGTGGCTTGGTAGTCATCAAGCGTGAAATCGATCCCGTGACTACCATGTCTCTGAAAGTCGATGATGCGGATGGTGTTTGGTCGGCCAGCGTCACAAAAAGAAGAGGGCCCTCCAGCACAGACAACCCCTCTCGTCAATATGTGGTTGTATCTCGGTCTACGGATTCGGAGCAGGAGGTGAACGAGGTCTTCGTCGTGGAGGAAGAAAGCTTGAAGCCTTTCAAGGCATCAGAGTTCAATCCGAACGAAGATTCCACGATTGATATTGGATCTTTGGCAGGCGATACTCGTCTAGTTCAGGTTCTGCGGAACGAGGTTAGAAGCTACGACATAGGTACAGTCTACTTCAGCCTGCTAGCAAGCGTTGCATAAGCTAATCATGAAACTCCACAGACCTGGGACTGTCACAGATTTACCCCGTTTGGGATGAAGACACCAGTGATGAGCGCGTGGCCGTGAGCGCAAGCTTTATTGATCCTTATCTTGTGATTATTCGGGATGATTCATCAATACTGCTTCTGCAGGCGGATGAAAGTGGTGACCTCGACGAAGTTCCGCTTTCAAATGAGGTTAGCTCCTCACAATGGCGCTCCGGATGCCTTTATCACGATAACTCTCAGTCATTCAGCGTTGCAGGCTCATCGTCGAAGGACTCTTCAGAAGGCGAAGTGCTTCTATTCCTATTGAATCTGGAGTATAAGCTATCGGTAGGTCATCGCGAAAAGAAAATGCAGGCATTGGTTCTGACTTGACATACAGATATTCCGCCTTTCTGACATGCAGTTGCTCGCGGTCATTGAAGGTGTCGACTGCTTACCACCCGTATTGTCGACCGAGCCCCCAAAACGATCTAATACTCGGGAAACCCTGACGGAATTTGTTGTTGCCAATCTTGGTGATAGTTCTAGCCTTTCACCTTATCTGATTGTGAGTATTTTTTTCCTCCATGGTTTTCTCTGATCTCTAACTCAAGCATTCTAGGCCCGAACCGAAAATGACGATCTCGTATTCTACAAACCGAGCCTAGTCCCGGCAAATGCAGGTCATGGATCATCTCGTCGCCTGCAGTTATTCCGAGAGTCAAATCATGTTCTACCAAAAATTCTTTCAGGGGAAGCATCCTCTCAAATACAGAAGCAACAGCGATCGAGGCCGCTGAGGGTTCTTCCTAATATTTCAGGGTTTAGCACCGTCTTTATGCCGGGAGCTTCATCGAGCTTTGTCTTTAGGACAGCAAAGAGCTCACCACACATCATTCGTCTTAGAGGAGGCTTTACACGTTGGCTAAGTTCCTTTGACTCAGCCGATACTGGCTGTGAAAATGGGTTCATTTACGTGGATTCTCAGGTGAGACTTTTTGCTCACAGTTGTCATATTATCTACACTTACTAATCCTCTTGTTTCAGAGCTGTATCCGGGCTTGTCAACTACCTACCCAAACTCAATTTGACTATCCGTGGACATTGCGCAAAGTTCCAATTGAAGAGCAGGTCGATTTTTTGGCCTACTCGACGTCTTCTGAGACGTATGTTCTCGGCACAAGCCACCAAGGAGACTTCAAGTTACCGGAGGGTGATGACCTGCACCCTGAGTGGCGTAATGAAGGTTCGTTATTGCTTCAAGCGTCTCCCATCGTGCTGTGCTAATTTAATCTCAAGAGCTATCATTTTGTCCGAAAGTCCCCGAAAGCAGCATCAAGGTCGTCAGTCCCAAGACATGGACCATCATTGACAGGTAAAAACTCCCACAAAACCCGCGACCTAATGAACCAAATACTAATATCTGTAGTTACCCTCTGGATCCCGATGAGCAGGTGACAGCGGTGAAAAACGTGAACATTGAGGTTTCGGAGAATACGCACGAGCGGAGGGATCTAATCGTCGTCGGAACCGCCATTGCTAAGGGAGAAGATATGCCAGCTCGCGGGACGATCTATGTCTTTGATGTGATCAAAGTGGCCCCAGACCCGGAAAAGCCAGAGACAGGCCGCAAACTCAAGCTGATTGGCAAGGAGTCAGTGAAGGGTGCAGTGACCGCGCTGTCTGGCATCGGTGGTCAAGGGTTCATAATTGTGGCCCAGGGACAGAAGTGCATGGTCCGAGGTCTCAAGGAAGACGGAAGCCTTCTCCCTGTTGCATTTATGGACATGCAATGCTATGTCAATGTCGCGAAAGAGCTCAAGGGCACCGGCATGGTTATCCTAGGAGATGCCGTGAAAGGACTTTGGTTCGCCGGTTACTCAGAGGACCCATATAGAATGACGCTTTTCGGCAAAGACCCCGAATACCTGGAGGTGGTGGCAGCCGACTTCCTCCCAGATGGGAACAAGCTGTACATGCTAGTCGCTGACAGCGACTGCAGCCTGCACGTCCTACAATACGACCCGGAAGACCCCAAGTCCTCCAACGGCGATCGACTCCTCAGCCGAAGCAAATTCTACACAGGCAACTTCGCATCATCGGTAACCCTTCTGCCGCGCACACCCGTTTCATCCGAGCTCACAGAGTCATCCGAAGAAGAAATGGACGTGGATCAGACCTTCGCCACACACCAGGTTCTCATCGCTTCGCAGAATGGGTCCCTAGCGCTTGTAACGTCAGTTGCCGAGGAATCATACCGTCGACTATCGGCGCTACAGTCTCAGCTGATCAACACCGTCGAACACCCTGCCGGCCTGAACGCGCGTGCTTTCCGGGCTATTGAAAGCGATGGCGCTGCGGGACGTGGTATGGTTGATGGCAATTTACTGCGTCTATGGCTGAATATGGGCAAGCAGCGACAGGCTGAGATTGCGGGCCGGGTCGGCGCGACGGAGTGGGAGATCAAGGCTGATCTGGAGACTATTGGCGGCGATGGACTCGGATATCTGTGATGCCGGAAACAGACGTCTTTCGATGCATTAGTTTTAAGGAAATTACAAACCCAACTCACTGAGTGAGCTTCCTCTTGCAAATTTATTCTATTATCAGATTTGAACAGCTTGTCTATATCTCCAGAAGATAAAAAATAAATAGTCAGCCCAAGATGGGATTTTTCAATATATGGCATGCCACGAGAACATGTATAGTTGAAGATTCTCTCAGCCTGCGCCGAGGGAGCCCCATCACGATCAAGTAAATAGCGTGATATCATAACACAGTGGGATATAACTAAACCAGGACCCAAAAGGGAGATGGAGAAAAAAAAAGAGACCCTAGTACCTATCCCAACCAGTCCAACGTGGGTAATCCAAGTAAACCAAAACCCATCCAATCCCAAAATCCACCACCCAAAACAAAAGAAAATCAATCAAGTCAAAACACCTCAGCACGCCACATTCGCCATTTTCGCCTTGCATGATTCGAATTCAAAGAAAACCAGATCTTTGAAATCGTACACGCCAAACCCCATCCGACCCCCCATGAGCATCAATATCAGTAACACATTCGGCATGTCAGCTTAGAACCAACCATGTTTTGTACTTTGTATTTCATGGGCAAACACAAAGTCAAGTCTAAAAGAAAGCAGTAAAAAAAAAAGGAGACACCCCATACCAGAGTGATAATGCAGATGCGAGAAGGAAAAGACAAAGGTCCCCCAGCCCCATTAGCCTATCATCCCAGTGTTGAGGTTCTTAGCACACATCTTCTGCAGTGAAGTACCGTTTGCTCCGGCCTCTGGACGCCACGAATTTCATCTCCGGCATGTTGGTGTGATGCACTACATGTGGTCGGTAGACGGCGTCGACGGGGGCTTGCCAATCATCCAACCCGAGGGGGAAGTACTCATAGAGAAGATCAGTGCTTTCGTTCGGAAAGGGGAGTGACGATGCAAATGACTGGGGCAGGTTGGCAGTCTCCAGCAACGGCATGGACGAAGCAACACTCCGCGAGGGAGTTTGAGAGACCGCATGAGAGAGCTTGCGCATCTTAGAAGGCGGGGCAGATTGGTCGAGACTCAGCGATCGATGATGTGACAACTCTGCAGCGAAAGGGGACACCATCTTTTGATCAAGATGGAGATTAGGGTCACCGCCTTCTTCCTCGTCTAGCAACGACAGATTAATTGGGGCAGCGGCCACTGTTGTGGAATTGACGCGGCGATGTGAGTCCGGCACCTGGGAGAGCTGCTCCGGGCTGGAATGAGGGAACATGGACTTTGGGGCATGAGACATGACATTGCTTGAATTGGACTGTGGGATGGGGGTCCAATCCGGTGTCGCTTTAGTCTGCTGCATAATGCTCGGTGGGGGAACAGACGTTGTTTCAGGAGAGCTGCTCTGGGCAGCTGGCTTCGTCTTGGCTGGAGTCACGCTGGCCCGACGCGGGACGGTGTCGCTTGTTGGTGTGCGGTTCATGGCGGCATTCGAAGAGCTGGCCTGGGCATTCTTTCGCGAAGCGGCAGCACTCCCACTAAGAGGGAGATCTTTGCGTGACTGGAAGTTGCGTGGGCTGCGGCCACGAACGATGACGGGGCCTGACTGCACCTCTGAGATGGAAATCTTCGCACCAGTGGATAACGTTGCGACTACCTTGAGCCGGACGACAAAGTGCTGCTGTAGCTCCTTCCGACGACCATTGTTGGCGGTAGCGACACGGAATTGTAGGCGTTTCCAGGCGATAGGGAAGGTCGCGTAGTCCGAATCCAGATCCTGACCCGCCATGATGTCCAAGGGAATTGGGGGAGGCTCCTTCTCGATCTTAGCACCAGTGCTAGGGTTGCTCTCCTCTGGCGCCGTGCCAGAATTAGCGGCAGCCGCCGAGGGGGTCTTCCATGGCACCGAGATAATCTTCACCGGATTTCCTTCCACGGATTCTGTGGCTGATACGGTGAGTTCCTGGGCGAGGATGGGAATTCGGTCGCCTTTTTCGGTCATGATATAGCGCATCCCGCGGGGCAAAGTTACTGAGCCGGTAATTTGGAACAAATTGCGACGATAACACGTCAACTCGGCGCCTTGTTGTGGCGGGGCATTTTCCGAAGGGGATGTTGTATAGGGGGACTCGGCAAGAAAGAACATCCCGTGCAACTGGGCCGACACCGATAAGATGGTTTGGCGCATGGAATAGTCGAGGAGCGTGAAGTGATATACCGGCAGCGAAAAGCTCAACAGTTTATTGTTGTGGTCGATCGAGTCCTGGGGTTGTTCCTGGGGCGCTGGATCAAAGGGCGTCGCCATCTCGGTGAAAGGGTCATCGTATGCGGAAGAGAAGCGCCTGAGTTGATGTGACAAATTAGGAGGTGCGAAAGTGAGATCCTCACTATATATCAAATTAGCAAAACAATTTCCCACCCGAGCGGAGTGGATAATCCACCCCTCTCGTCCCACTTGGAGATCTAATCACCCACCTAACAAAGGTCTCAGAATCGAAGTTGGAACGGTGGTCCGGTAGATCCAAGCCGGACATCGCATTGAGATAATCAGAGCCCTGCAAATTCCCAAGTGCCAATGGACTGGCCAAGTACGGTGTCATCGCCGCCATAGTATCGAAGCCCTCCATGGTCAGAGCTGCGATACGCAGGCACACGATGCGGGGGAGGGAGAGTTATAGGATTGTCTTTTATATAAAGACAGTCGAGCGAAGAAGAAGAGACAGGAAGTTAAAAGAGGAGAGTAAAAGGGTAAGAGAAAGAGGTCAGACGAAGAAAAGCCAAGGATGAGTAGAGACCTGGGGAATGCTGCAAGCAACGGAGCGGAAAGATAGGCTAAGGCGGGAGTGAAGGCGGAGAGGACATTTGAGACGGAAATGGAAAGGTCAGGATTATGGATAAATGGTATATAGTCCTGGAGGTATTAGGCCCTGGAGAGTACCTAGAGAGAAAGGAAGACCGGGAGAGAGAGGAATCTCCGTTCTGCCAAACGATCAACGGATTCGGGGAATAGTGGAGCCGCGGTTTTTGCGGAGAACGAACGCAGCGCTTAGTCATCTTATAGATAAAAGGTTTTATATTTTAATTTCCAATTTAATCTTTTGATAATTCTATTAATCACTTTACGGATGTAGTACGGAGTATCTCAAGATATCCAATAACAACTAACATGCAAATCCCTCAGCACCGATGGGGTAAGACTTGATCGCCGGCTCTCGGCTCTCGCTGGGCCCTGAAGATCAAGATGTTAAATATGATAACCCCCAATACGGAGTATAGCATTCTACATTATACATTCTACTCCGTATTGAGTACGAATTAGTATAATCTGAGATCATTCGCTTTTACGATGAATACCCACCTGCCTATTAAGGGACTGCTGCTTCGGGTCAACCCTCCTGAAAACGCCACATATTAATATTAAAACATTAGTACTCCGTATTAGTATTGGGATTAGGATGGGCATTGGTCCTATATCTACGGTGTAGGTCTGAATAGACCTGAGTGGATATCTAGTCTATAGTTGTTCTACAATATAGTATTCTAATTATTCCAATATTCCAATCAAATCATATATTTACAATATACATAATTCCATTCTTACATTTCAACAATGCAATCACATTCGCCCCAAGGATGATCATCATCGGCCGTCTGACATGCAGATATAGAGACCAATCAGAATATGCGGCGTATAGGATCAGAAAGCGGTTGCCCCCCCTCGTACTCTGGACCCTGTACTTTTTGGCGCCCCACTGGAAACGGCAATAATAATCTGCAATAATCTGGTAATCTGCAATGTAATCATGCATGTAATATGTTGAGCATTTATATGTACTCTGTACCTCGGTGCCTTGGTAGCCTTGAACTTAAGCTGTTTGGTTTCGGGTCCGGCGATGTCCGGTGGATCTACGAAAAGTTCAAAGTTCAAAGTTCATACTTTGTATGTATGTACTATGTATAGTTCCTTATCCACAGTACATATGCACTTTTCTTAGACTCATAGAACTATTGGGGAAGGAGATACAGGATGTCAGACTGGGAGATTGAGTGGCGAAGAAGCTTCCTCGTTCTCGCATGTGAGCCAATAGAGAGTCTGTGCATTTACCCAATTTGATTATTCCCGAAGGGATCTCTTTCAGGTTTTCCTTTTTCATTCTTCTTCCGGCACGTTTCCCATTGCGGCCTAGAAAGTATACCAAGGTTTTGACCACGGGAGCCATCCGCGGTTGAACATGGCCAAAGGTTCCAAGGTTCCAAGGTTCCAAGGTTCCAAGGTTGGAAGCTCTTTCAATATCCATCATTTGGGTTTGGGCCTGAGATGCCGAAAAGCTTCACAGTATATGGGTACTACTGTACCTGATGGAATATCTCTGTAACATTCCTGGGATCGTAGATCAGGAATGTACGAGACCTTCAGACTTCCAGTTCAGCTTCAAAAAAAAAATAATAAGAAGAAGAAGCTCCGCTTGTACAACTGAGGGATTTTTAACGCAAACAGAAAACTAAATTGGTTCAAACTCTGAACCAATGAAATTCATTGGTCCGGGTCAAAGTCAAGCCCCGAGGCCCGATAAACCCGTTTGGAGTTTCGATTCTTTGGGTTTTATATAGGAAACCTTGGGGAAAGAGAGAATAGTTATACATCAAATCCCTTCTAATGTCACATCTTGAAATACAAAACAAAATACCATACTACACCTGGCTTCCAAGGTTCTTTTTGACCAAAAAGTGGGTGCTTGGCTTTTGTCCGCCTCCGGCGCCAAAGCGGAGTTCCGTTTCTAAGCCCATAATTCCCCATAAAACCCACTTGAAGTTAAAGGTGTGTGTGGACAAAATACAAAATAGTCTAGCCAAGTTCGACTTCCAACGGACGTCCGGTCCAGTTAGGTGTCGGCTTTAATTGTGATGCCTTGAAGATTAGAATTCTTATTTCCCCAGGCTTAGTTCATGGACTTTGGAACAGTAACTCACTACCTAGGTAGCTAGGTCCTCCCGAGTTCCAATACCAGGATAATTAACGGGTTTTTCGTACGTGTAGATCGATCCAACCCGATTCCCGATTCCCGATTCCGGACATAAACACTTCCCTTGAGAATTCACATTGGCTTTTCTATCCAGATATCTCTGGTAATCGCCAGTGGGAACCCCGTGACCAATTTATTTATTTGATTGGACCAGAACAGACTTTCTGTCCTACCCCAGGCCCTACAAAATGGAAAAAAAAAATAGAAAATAGGTGTGAAGAAAAAACTCCTGGGAACCGTTGCCGAATCGTGTGAAATAAAGAAAATGGTCCAGATCCAATTGGAAAAAAAAAAAGAAAGAAAGAAAATAGGTTAAAACAAATGCCAAACCCAATGCGATATGGATATCATAGACGTGAGGAAAACAGGACCGAAAAGAATAGAAAGGAAATGAAAAGCAGAATTGAATCAAGATCTCTACGCATGCATCATTGTCCACGTAGCTGCGTCACAGTTCACTTCTTCAAAGCTGTGTAGCATAGTGAAGCCCATTGTAGAGAGATTGTCGAAGTTGTCGTCGCCGTCGACCTGTATTGTGTTAGAGGATAATGGGGGGAAAAAAAGGAGGCGAAGAGAACATACACAGTCCATGACCACGGCATTGGCACTCAACTTCCGGATCTGCTTGATAGCCAACAGGATCAGACCCTGCATAACGGTAGAGTAATCTTCACCGCAAGAAGAAATGACGGGAGACGAAATGCCTCCGACGGAAGCCTGGGTGGCCCGCAGCACGGGCATGTGCTCTGCCAAGGTAGATCTCTCATTGTAGATCACGATACTCCCGAGTATAACCCCGTCGGAGGGCCGCTTGGCCCGGATGATCCCGCAATTAGGCGCGCCACCCAAAGCCATGCGGTATATGTCGGCCACGCCCTGCCGCGCATACGTTTTAATGTGATCAAGGATCGCGCGCGAAAAGTCCCAGCCATACACGAGGTCGTAGGTGACCTCGGCACTCTGCAGCGTCGCAGTGAGTCCTTCGGGTGGCACCCATGTCGACAGATTGCGCAGGATCACGCTGCATACCGGTCGTGAAAGCGCGGTGTTCCACCCCATGTTCGCGAACCATTGCCGCAGCCGCTTGCGCTCGACAGGGTTGACGGTCGGGATACCAAGGTAGATCCCTGGTAGTCGGGATCCGAGCTGGAAGCGTTTCATCCCGCTCCGTTGGAGTAGAGTCCGAATCGCGCGGCTGTGGAGAGAATGTCCGATTGATAGTTTCCTTCGGGAAGGGTCCACAATTAGACATGCCACGACACCGGTGCCTGTTGATCGGAAGAAGTAGGTCGCGCAGAACCCATAGATGGCCTGGGTGCTACTGTTCCGGACAACGAAATGGGCTTCGTCGATATCCTCTCTTCGTAGCAAGAAGCTGCTAGCGGTAGCTCCAAGCAGTTCGGACGGCTGGCCTGGTGCACAGTCATCTCGGATGGTGTCAAGCAGAGCATCCAGTGCGAAAGAGTCGCGGTCTTCGTTCCAATTTTCGACAAGCCAGTGCTGTCGAGACTGATTGATCTTCTGCGTTCGGCCAATGGATCCGGGCAGGGCCGCTGAAGGTGTCAAGTCGCCATACAGGACCTTGACTAATGCCTGGAGGGCTGTTTCCGTAAAGTCATACGTGCATATATAAGTACCAATTGAGGAATCCATGGCAAAATCATATGGCGAGCTAACTGCCACCACAATCAATGGCTTCTCGCGGCGTTCGCCAGATGAGGTATACTGAGATTGGCAGATCATGGAGACATGTTTTGAGAACCCTTGCTGATATACATTGCGATTTGCATCTGCCGTGACCACGACTACAGCACTCGCTCTTTGGATGAGGTCTTCGTGGATGGGACGCACGCCATTGGAAGTATAGGAAGTGTGCAACACGCGCCCATTCCTCTGTCGTGAGAGTGATCGTCCAAGTTCTTTGAAGACGCCCTCTCCACTCAGAACCGAGGAGGTTCGTTCCGAAGATAATGGATCAAGTGGCCCATGCACAGAGTCTGCGACCGAGAGAGTAACCGCCGATGTTGGAAGTGGCTTGACGAGCGGAGTCAGCAGCAAAAGTTCCTCGTCTGCCTCGATGACATTGGACAACGGAAGTAAATTATTCTTATCTCTCATCACTGTGATGGAAGAGTTGTAGGCTCGGGTGGAAAGGTTCGTATGCGAGGGTTGCATCTGTGTAAGTGAAGAAAGCCCCGGAGGGTTCAGTGCCTGTTCCCACGAAGTACACCGCGCCTTCAAATCCAAAACTCGGCGCAACGATTGTTCAATTCGTTGACGGCCGATTATACCGTTCTCCACGCCGAGTTTCAACCCATTGATGGCTTCTTGCTGGACCGGGAATGACCGACATAAGAGGATGACATCGCAGCCGGCGTTCTTCGCCATCACCGTGCCACCTCCTACTCCAATGTTGTGTGTGAGTGCCTCCATTTCCAAACATTCAGAAACGACAACTCCTTGAAACTGGAGATCCTTTCTCAAGAGCTCGTCAACCACCTGATCACTCAGGCAGGCGTGCATCACGTTCATCCCAGCAGATGATAATGAGACACCTCCCACCATCATGGCATCCAGGCCCTGACTTATAGCGTTGCGAAAGGGTACAAGCGCGCTGAGACTGAGCTGCTCCAGTGATTCTGTAATAATTGGGACATCGGTCTGGGAGCCGAGAAATTCCAAATTACCATAGGATGGAAAGTGTTTTCCACAGGTCACTAAGCCTGCTTCTTGATACCCCCTCATGAACTGGACACCATATTGAGACGCCTCTTGGGGATCGTCACCGGCGGTACGAACGCCTAATGGCTGATTTCGCACATTGGTCAAAACATCCAAAACGGGTCCTAAGATCCAATTGACCCCAACGGCCTTCAGCTCCTGTGCTGTCGCAAAAGCCACCTCGTGGGCTAAAGATTTGGACCCAGTGGCTGCAATGCCCATGGTACTAGGGAATTGGCGAATATATATCTCATCATATAAACTGTTGACACCACCATTCTCCTGGTCCAGGGCAATTAGTAAGGGAACGAGATGGCCTGCATCACGCGCAATGGTTTGTAACTCCAGAACTAATCTGGTTGTCTCCTCGGCCGCTGTAAGCGTGTTAGTGACTATCCAAGTTGATGGCGAGGGCCCTTTTAAAAGATACATTTCAGATTTTTAGCAGATAGCAGCACAGCCCCCAAGTGGTAATCCTCAATGAGTGATCGAATCTGTGGATTGACCGACGTTCCATCAAAGCCCATCATAAAGAGCTGACCCATCTGCCTGTGCCATGTTAGCGCGCCCGAGGTGTCATATTTCCTAAAGTGGAAATAGTCTAAAGGACCCTCATCCCCAGATTGACCAAGGTTCCACAGTGAAGGGAGGTACCCAGGTAGATTAGGGAGGGGGAAGGATTAAGGCCGATAGGGGATGAGCCAAGCGAAAAAGGTGATCAACATACCTATCTAGGTTCTCCCAGCCCGGGGGCAGCATGTCCTCTTTCCGGGCCATGGCCCGAGGAGGAATGCCTGCAGCGGCCCAGAAAGGTAGGATGCAAAGGGTGCAGTGTCGGAGGATCAAGGTGTGGACACCGCAAACGTCTGACAGGTAAGGAATATGAAGCCAGTGCACGCGCGTAGTCAGGTGACAGGGGGTAAAAGGGTTGCAAGAGTCAAAAATTGGACCTCGGGAGCTTTGTCTTTCACCCCAGAGCCGCAAAAGTCGGGGAAGAATTGGGACTAGAGAGATAAGGAGATAGGTGCCTCCCCGCTGTTAGGGTCACGGGATCTTGGCAACTACATTATTTAAATATATAATTGATCTAACAGTTAAAAGAAAAAAAGTACATCCTTTCAATTCTACAGAGATATAATGGACTATTGATTATCGATAAATCATAATATCCACCTAGGTAGTCCCCTGAGCACATACCCCAATATGGTAATCACGTGATGTGTATGTAACCGTAATCGGGGTCCCAATCTCTAGTCACGTGTTGTATATACTCATACCAATACCATACCGGGGCGGCTACGACGCTACAACGTCCAGGGTTGCACTGGGCACTATATTTCTCCAGCTTATGCCGACTTCACCGAATGCAACTACACTTCTCAAATGGAACCTTCAGAACCACCATGTGTGCTGTGGAACTCCATAGTCCAATTAGAATATCTGTTTCCCTCTTTTTTCCGGCGTCATCGCACTCTTGGCCTGATTGTTGGGCCACATGGAATACATCCGAGTGGACCTTGATAGAAACTTTGGAATCGGCCGAATGAGGTCAATGGCTATTTGGCTATCGTAGTGGATTCTAACTTGCCAAGATACGGTTACCCGCAGACGTTAACCAGTCGTCCGAGAGGCCCTATCTAAGGGCAATGATACATTTACTATAGCACGTGGCTCACTCTCTATACGACGTTCTTTTTTGTCACTGTACACTCCACCAGACTGTAACCTGTCCCCTTTCCCTTGTTCTCTTTTATTTCCCTTAGATACCAGCTTTTTCCCTTTCTTCTTCCATACTTCTTACTCCAATCCAAAAACCCTGACGTAATTATGTGAGTGACATCTATATATCGCATCATGGTTCCATACTAACCCGACTTCTCATAGGCGTGTCATTATCAGAGAAGATCCCCGTGAGGTGTCTGTGTATATTGCAGACTACATTATCAGTAAGCTGAAGTCCAGATGCTCCATGCGCCGATGCGCGCTATCCATGCCGAGACTAACTATTCCATCTTAGGCCGCATCAAGGCATTCAATCCGACTCCCGAGCAGCCATTTGTGCTTGGTGTGCCCACTGGTAGCAGCCCTGAGCTCATCTACAAGATTCTCGTGCAGCGTCATCGCGCTGGCGAGATCTCCTTCAAGAATGTCGTGACTTTCAACATGGTATGCGCAACAACAACCCCCGGGGAAAACAACCTACTAACCACAATACAGGATGAATATGTCGGTCTGCCTCGCGATCACCCCGAGTCCTACCACAGCTTCATGTACAAGCACTTCTTCTCCCACGTGGACATCCCCCCGCAGAACATTAACATCCTAGACGGCACCGCGACCGATCTTGTAGCCGAGTGTGCATCGTTCGAAGCACGGATCGCCCGCTATGGTGGCATCGAGCTCTTCCTGGGTGGCGTCGGACCAGACGGCCACATCGCCTTCAACGAGCCAGGCTCCTCCCTGAGCAGCCGCACTCGCGTCAAGACACTGGCCTACGACACCATCCTGGCAAACTCCCGCTTCTTCGGCGGCGACACCGACAAGGTGCCCCGCATGGCTATGACGGTTGGTATTCAGACCATCATGGATTCCCGGGAAGTGGTGATTGTAGCCACCGGAGCGCACAAGGCGTTCGCCGTGCAGAAGGGCCTCGAAGATGGCATCAATCACATGTGGACGCTTTCCGCTCTGCAGCTGCACCAGCACCCGCTTGTCGTCTGCGACCGCGACGCCACTCTCGAACTCAAGGTCAAGACTGTGCGGTACTTCGAATCCATCGAGCAGGCCGGCACCGATGCCCGTACCCAGGGACCCGCTCTCGTTTACCGTCCTCGGACTTACGTCCCGGCCCCACTCCCAGCCAAGACCCCCAAGTCCCAGCAGCCTACTCCCGATGGAACCCCTGAGAAGACGCCCAAGGATCTCCGCATCAACACTGAGCTGCACCGCCGCGCACTGGAGGAAGAGGAGCTCACCCCGGATAGCATGTCCTCGCGCCTGGTCGACTCGGCCATTGGCGGGATTGACGGTGCGCTGAAGAGCGACCTTGTCTTTGACCGTATGGGCACCAGAATTACCACCCTCTAATGGGTGACCTCTCTGGAATTTGTGGCATTTTCATTCCGGGGTTTTTCTTTTCTTTTCTTTTCTTAATTTTTTTTTTATGGGCGGGAATGGGTTCTGTCTTTGCAAATCATATCTGCATGGTCTTTTTTACTGCTTTTGCTTACAGGATCCGTGCATGGGTGTTATCTAAGGAGTTTCGCTGGTCATTTCGATTATTCCCGACTTGATAGATGCGATGCGTTTTTTAGGGGTCAAGTCATATTATGAAAGATTTTAGCTATGGATAATTCAAGCTGTGTACAATTAATCTATTTTTTTAATTTTTTTAAACGTGCTTGCGTAGCGTGATGCTGTTCAGTATATATATTATATGTTAGGGTGATGGGACCTTGTGGGGTCAGAAATATATAGATGTCCAAGAATGAAAATGTAGAAAATCTAAAATAGTTGCTTCAATTGTGGCGCTCAAACGGGTCCATATTCTGTACATTCTATGATCATTGCTTTTGGGTCGTACATTGCATGATATATTAACATTATAGCTTGGCGAAGACACTGACCACGGCACCGCTCATATCAACCAGAGTGCTCTTGTTCTGCAGCCAAGCCTCAATACCGCGACGACCATTCTCCACGCCCAGACCGCTCTTCTTCCAGCCACCGACGGCCATTTCAGCAGGGCTCTCGCCCCACGTGTTCACCCAGGTAATACCAGCCTGCAGCTGGTCAATGATGCGGTGAGCCTGGTTCAAATCCTTAGTGAAGACACCGGCAGCGAGACCGAGCTCAGTATCATTGGCGCGTCGCACGGCCTCCTCGACGGTGTCATAGTATAGGAGGGACATAACGGGACCGAAGATCTCCTCCTTGACGATGCTCATGGAGTCAGTGCAGTCGGTGAAGATGGTCGGCTTGACCCAGTAACCGGCCTGCAGCTCCTTGGGCACCGAGGGCTTCTCGACACCACCACAGAGCAGGGTCGCGCGGTCAGACTCAATACCGTGGCGAATGTATGCGACAACCTTGTCGTAGTGGGGTTTGGAGCTGAGGGGACCGTAGTTGGTCTGCTCGTCAAAGAGCGGGCCAGGCCGCACATATTGGATCTTCTCAAGCAGGCTCTTCTCGAAAGCAGCCTTCATGGTGCGCGGGACGAAGACCCGGGTGCCGTTGGTGCAGACCTGACCAGTGCTGTAGAAGTTGGCCATCATGGCGCCATTGACGGCATTCTCCAGCTCAGCGTCCGGGCAGACAATCAGGGGGCTCTTCCCGCCCAGCTCCATTGTCACGTATTTCATGCTGCCCGAGGCGGCGCCTGCGACCTTCATACCGGTCGCCACTTGGCCGGTGAAGGAGACCTTGGCGATGAGTGGGTGGCCGGTCAGGTAGGCACCGACATCACCGGCACCGTTGACCACGTTGAAGACACCGTCGGGGAGGCCGGCCTCGGTGTAAATTTCCGCGAGCGTCTGACCGTGAAGAGGGGTGTATTCACTGGGTTTATAGATCATTGTGTTACCGGCAGCTAGACAAGCAGCGGATTTCCAGAGGGCACTAAGAAACAATATCCAAGTCAGCTATTTTTTTCTCTGCTGCAAATACAGGATTGAAAAACTTACATCTGGATGGGGTAGTTCCAAGCACCAATGCCGGCACACACACCCAGAGGGGACTTCTTAGTGTATACCCAGGCATCCTCGCGGAGGTGAGTAGTCTCACCGTTGAGACCGCCGCCACCAATGAAGTTGGCATAGTACTCCAAAACATCGGCGCCAGTGGTGACGTCGACGGTGCTAGTCTCAGTAAAGGCCTTGCCGGAGTCCAAAGTCTCAACGCGTGCAATTTCGTCGTTCCGTTCCCGTAGTAGGGCAGCGGCCTTGTGAAGAATTCGGGCGCGAGCGATCAGTGGGGTCTGCGCCCACGAGGGGAATGCACGATCGGCAGCAGTAATGGCGGCATCGACGTCCGCGTTGGAGGCGATCTGGATATCGGCCAACGGAGTTGCAGTGGCGGGATTGATAGACTGGAAGGTCTTGCCGGAGGTCGCGGCTTGGACCTTACCGTTGTAATAGAGTTGACGAGGTGGGAATGAGAGAGACATTGTGTATAGAAGTTAACCTTGAGAAACCTTGGAAAGATAAGAGAAATGATAGGGAAGAATATGTAGACCGCCTTATAGTTTATCCGAAAAAAGGAATTGGGGTTTAGCGCACTACTTAATTTGATTAGGTACTCGGTACTCGGCCACCAGGCATGTTAATACGTAATGGCCAAGTACTAAGTACGCCATCCGGTCAGCGGCTGAAGGTGGCTTGGAAACGGGCTGAATATCTACGCGGGGTCAGACTTGCATTTCCGCTTGCTCTCTATGGCTCCCGGGACTTTTATACTATAAATGGCCTTAACCTAGTGACGTACATTATCTTGATAACGGAAGGGAATTCCTATCCTGGTTCTATTTTTCTCCATGACTTTTGAACAAAGTACCATACCGATAAAGCGCTCCTCGGCCGTTGATCTCGGGAGAGTCGGACCAAATTATCTAAGAGATCTCTGACAGGATTCTCTCCACTTTCAGTGATCGCCACCACTCAGAAGCCAAGGTTCGCCGAGTCTAACGAAAAAAAAAAAGAAAGAAAAAAAGAATATGAAGGTAAATCACCAGAAATTAGATTTCAAGACCTTTTTTCGATCAGACCACTCCCCCGAACTGAAAATTCTCTTAAAAGGCGGTCCCGTCTTCTCCAATTTTCTCCTCACCACAGAACCTTGCATATTCCCCCGGTATTCAACATGGCCACCACTAACGAGCTCCCCGCTATCGATGTCAACAGCTACGACTACATCGTCGTTGGCGGCGGTACCGCAGGCTGTGTGATCGCCGCACGCCTGGCCGAGTACCTCCCTAACAAGCGCACTCTGGTTATTGAGGGAGGTCCTAGTGATTTCATGGACGACCGCGTTCTGAACCTGAAGGAATGGCTCAACCTGCTTGGAGGTGAGCTCGACTACGACTACGGTACCACCGAGCAGCCCATGGGTAAGACACCATTTTCCCGAAATTTTATGGGAGCTTATGCTGACTATCTCCGCAGGTAACAGTCATATCCGCCACTCCCGCGCAAAGGTCCTGGGTGGCTGCTCCAGCCACAACACTCTCATCTCTTTCCGCCCCTTCGAGTATGATTGCCGCCAATGGGTTTCCAAGGGTTGCAAGGGCTGGGACTTTGAGACCTTCACCCGCATCATTGATAACCTGCGCAACACTATCCAGCCTGTGCATGGCCGTCACCGTAACCAGCTGTGCAAGGACTGGATTCAGGCCTGCTCTACTGCCATGAAAATCCCCGTCATTGAGAACTTCAACGATGATATCCGCAAGACCGGTGAGCTGACTGAGGGTGTCGGCTTCTTCAACATCTCCTACAACCCCGATGACGGCCGCCGTAGCAGTGCCAGTGTCGCCTACATCCACCCCATTCTCCGTGGTGATGAGAAGCGTCCTAACTTGACTATTCTCACCAACGCTTGGGTTAACAAGGTTAACGTTGAGGGTGATACCGTGACCGGTGTTGATGTTACTCTGCAGTCTGGTGTCAAACACACTCTGCGTGCTAAGAAGGAGACCGTTCTGTGTGCCGGAGCTGTCGACACCCCTCGTCTGATGATGCTCTCCGGTCTTGGTCCCCGTGAGCAGCTGTCCGCACTCGGTATTCCCGTTGTGAAGGATCTCCCCGGTGTTGGTGAAAACCTGCTGGACCACCCCGAGAGCATCATCATGTGGGAGCTCAACAGCCCCGTGGATCATAACATGACCACCATGGACTCTGACGCCGGTATCTTTTTGCGCCGCGAGCTGCCCAACGCCGCTGGCCACGACGGCAAGATTGCCGACGTGATGATGCACTGCTACCAGATTCCCTTCACCCTTAACACCACTCGTCTCGGCTACGACGAGCCCGTGAACGCCTTCTGCATGACCCCCAATATTCCCCGCCCCCGCTCCCGCGGTCGTCTCTTCTTGACCTCCGCCGACCCCTCCGTGAAGCCCTCGCTGGACTTCCGCTACTTCACCGATCCCGAGGGCTACGACGCCGCCACCATCGTGGCGGGTCTCAAGGCCGCCCGTGAGATTGCCAAGGAGTCTCCTTTCAAGGAGTGGATCAAGCGCGAGGTTGCCCCCGGCCCCAAGGTGCAGACCGACGAGGAGCTGTCTGAGTACGGCCGTCGTGTCGCCCACACCGTGTACCACCCCGCTGGTACTACCAAGATGGGTAACGTTGCCAGCGACCCCATGGCGGTTGTGGACCCCACGCTGAAGGTCCGCGGTCTGAAGGGCATCCGTATCGCCGATGCCGGTGTCTTCCCTGAGATGCCTACCGTTAACCCTATGCTGACGGTCCTGACCATTGGTGAGCGTGCCGCCGAGCTGATTGCTGGCGAGGCCGGTTGGTCTCGCAACCAGCCCCGTCTGTAAAGCAGGGGATTATTACGCGTCAAAGATCTGACATGCCTGTAAAAGTTATTTCTTCATTTTGGTCCAATTTTGGTTTTATTATAGCATATGAGCGAGCGGCGCATAGCTCCGTCGGAGTCGGGCGCGGAGGATCGCCTTGAAATGCGGGCATCTTTCGGGTCTGGTTCTCCCCAGTGTCTGCGAGACAGACCTGAATATTTTATTCATCTGACATATATACAATTATGTATAAAACTGATATTTGAGAATAAGTTTCTCTTAAAATTTGAACTTGAAAAATCTAAAACAAAGATTCGAACTGAAGATGGTGCTGGCGCTATGACCATGCGCTTGCATATGCTCAATGCAAAATACACAACCTAAAAAAACGCCTGTAACCAACCAACCGAGATGAAAGAGCTGTTGAGCATATGCTGGAATGAAACCAAAGAAGAAAAAAGAGATAGATCGCATACAAGATCGAAAACCTCATACCGTCACGGCAGTCTTGTCAGTATCGTGGATCTTAGCACCCAGCTTCCACACCTGATCAACCGTCAAGGTCGGCCCTGAGAAGGGATCCTCACTCTCACCCAACACGATGAGATCGGCATCAGCACCACTTGCCAGCGATCCCTTGACACCCTCCAAGTTAAGCAGACGCGCCGGCGCAGCAGTGACAGCATTGATAGCCGCAGCCGTCGATGCACCCGACCAACGACGGAAGTTGTTAACACACTCGATAAGCGTCGCCGAAGACCCAGCAATCTTATCAGAGCCCTCAAGCGTCAACCGCGCACCAGTCTTGACAATCCGCTCCCCATTCGTCCAATCATAGATACCGTCCGGCAGACCACACAGACGCATCGCATCGGTAACCAAGATCAACCCATCCGGGTGCGCATTGTATGCGATCTTGATGGAAGTGGGGTGCAAGTGGATGCCGTCGGCGATAACACCGTAAAACGGCCTGCGGCGCTCACTCTGTCCCAGCAGACCGAAGATACCGGGGTTACGGTGGTAGAAGGGACGCATGGCGTTGAACAGGTGGGTGATCATGCGGGCGCCCTGGTGCGTGGCCTTGACAGCCTGCTCGTAGGTTGCGTCGGAGTGGCCGATTGAGTAGATGATTTTGTTGCCCTTGGCGATTTCGGGGATGTGGGCCATCATGTTGCCGACTTCGGGGGCGGCTGTGATCATCTTGATTGGGCTGTCGTTACCCATGTTCTCGGCGCCGTAGCAGTGGATGAGATCGTCGAAGGTTTCGGCGGCGCGCAGCACTTCAGGCTTGTGGATGCCGTTGCGGCCGGGGCTGATGAAGGGACCTTCGGCGTGTGCGCCTAGTGACTCGGCACCATCTTGGGGGGTATGGGTTCCTGCTGTTGGGCCGAGGGAGGGGAGGACCTGAAAGAATAAAGATTAATCTTTTTGTTCTTCTGGGGAAGGTTCGAGTTGCTGTCCTAAGCACTCTGCGCTTTGCTTACCTTCCAGTACACCTCGGGGGTGGAGCTGACGAGCGTTGGCAGGTAGGAAGTGACACCGGTTCGGGCCAATCCACGGTTCACCATGCGCAAACCCTCATCGTATTCCTCCTTTGTCTCACAGGGAACAGAGAAATCAAAGCCATGGGCACCGTTCAACTGGACATCGATCATACCCGGGGCAATGATACGGCCACCGAGATCGATGATCTCGTCGGGGGTCAGGTGCGATCCATAGAACGCCTCTTGATCCTTTAAGATCTTTCCAGTCAGAGAGTCAATCCAAAGGTCTTGCTCGACCAAGTTCAACCCGCACACCAGGCGGCAGTTGGTGAACTTGGTAATGCGCGGGACAGATGTCTTGCCCGGCATTGTTTATTGTTTGTAGAAAATGTTCCTATCAGATCTGGTTGAATAGAAAACAGAAAGAAGAGAGGGGACGCCCAAGTACATAAAGATCGAGGTACAATGATGTAACAGTAGGCTGAGTGACATTCGGCATGCCGATGTCGTATACAATATAGTACATCTGGAGTACCCTTTGTACTCTTTGACTCCGTACTATACATTACAATATCGATACTCGGCCCGTAAGTTACCGAACCCGGATCTGACAATACCGTAATCCAACACTACGACACTCCCGGATGCGGGTCTCGTTTCTTTTTCCAATGCAACATCTCTGTCACATCACATCTCTCACGTTACTCAATATGACTCCTTCTCATTTCCCTGGATTTCTCCAGATGATGACTCCATCTTTCCCCAACATCCCCAGCTGACCCAAATGTACGATCCATGTCGCATTGAAAAAAAATGGATCCCCAGATAAGACAAATAGCGTGACTCGGTTATATATTAATTTATCTACTAAGGACTAAATAGCCTTAGCTTCCTAAAAAATACTTCGCCCTATTTCAGAATTTCCCTTGGCAAGGGATTATCTACATTCTTCACGGTTCTTCACCTTTGCTCACGTGGGGAACATTCCTCGGACCCCTTGGCTCGCTTGTTGATTTACACTATTTTCCCTGTCCCCTGTAGATCCCGTCTCTTACAACCATGACTGAGCCCGAGAAGCAAGAAGCCGAGAAGCAGACAGAGGGGCCGACAGAACAATATGCCTCGATGTCTACGGCCGTGTCTGCTCCGCAGGACCCTGAA